CAAGATCCTTTCCCAATCCAGGGGGCAATGAGCGGAGGTTCTATTCTACCTTTGCCCAAGCTCTTCAGGTTCCTGAGGTGGACATCCAGGTTGCCACCCTAGCCTCAACTTCAGCCGTGGTGATGGGAGATATCGCCAACTGCCTTAAGGCAGGGGACAAAAAGGTGGAGATCATTTTACATAAGACATTCCAAGCAATAACCTGGGCCATTAGGGCGGCCGCTTCTGGATCTTTTTTCAATAGATCTACAGTGCTGTGGCTGGAACAGCTGAGAGACAGAACCCCGGCCACGGAGGTATGACTGCTGCAGGACATCTCTAAGCTGCTGGCAGCCACACAGTTCTCAGCGGACGCCACCCTGGATGCAGTTAAGTATGCGTCTTGAGCCTTGTCATCCTCTGTAGCGTCCAGGCGCCTGCTGTGGTTGCGCCACTGGCAGGCGGAGTCCCGGGCTAAGTGGCACCTGGCAGGAGCGGACTACGCCGGGAACAAACTCTTCGGTGCCTTGCTGGATAATATCCTGGTGGAGGACAAAAACAAGCGGAAGGTTTTCCTGGCTACGACCAAACAGTCAGATTACCAACACGCTCCTTATCCCAGGAGAACATCTTACCGCTCACCTGAATCAGATGTCCAGAATCAAAGGGACCAGACCCCCAGATTTCATAGACAGGGGGATAGGCAGTTTCCTAGGGACAGATTCAGGGGCCAGCAGCAGAGCAAGTAGCCCTTTCAAGGAGGGGGCAGCCGCCCATTCTGCAGGTTCAAGTGATTCATCCGCGGATCACCCCATTGGCGGTCACCTCTCCCTTTTTGCGGATGCCTGGGAGCGCGTCACCTCAGATGACTGGGTCCTCCAGACTGTTAAGCTGGGGTTACAGCTGGAGTTCTGCTCGCAATCCCCGAATAGGTTCCACACCTTTGCCTCCTCTGCAGATCTGGCCAAATGGGCCCTTAAGGCAAAGGCCATCAAACACCTGCTAGATATCAGGGCCATAGAGAAGGTCCCAGAGTGGGAGAGGGGTTCCGGATTCTATTTGAACCTGTTTCTGGTCCCCAAGAGTTCAGGGGGGGTGGAGAGCCATCCTGGATCTTAAACTACTCAATTCCAGGGTGTCTACCGTAGGTTCAAGATGGCCTCCCTGAAATCTATCTTAGAGGGCATCCGACAGGGTGACTTCTTGGCCTCCATAGACCTCACAGAGGCCTACCTTCACATCAGAATCGCCCCGGAACATCGCAGGTTCCTTAGGTTTTCCCACGAGGGCAGTCATTTTCAATATAGGTCCCTTCCCTTTGGGCTGGCCTCAGCTCCCAGGAACTTTACCAAGGTGCTGGCCACGGCCGCGGGTCACCTGCGTTCCTTCCCAGTATGTCTTTTTTGTTACCTAGATGACATCCTCGTTCTGGCCAGGTCCCCAGACACTGCCAGGCAGGACCTGGGGATGACCATCGACCCTCTCAGGTCCCTAGGGTTCTCTATCAACCTAGAGAAGAGTCACCTGGTCCCATCTACCAGGCTCCAGCACCTAGGGTCCATTATAGATTCGGTGTCTGGGGAGGTTTTACTTTCCCAGGATCGAAAGGACAGCATTGTGCAGCTGATTCATGAAGTTCACAAATTACGCTCTGTCCCTGTAGTTCTTCTTTCCAGGCTCCTTGGNATTTACAGTGAACTGTGCATGCACAGTCACTAAAAACCAAAATGGTGGTGGCCCAGCAGTGGCGAGGGAATCAGTTTGGGAGCATGGCAGGCCTGGGTTGCTGCCGGTTCTGCGACCCAGGCCTGAATTCCACTACCGGTTCAGCCGAACTGGACCGAACCAGGAGCAACCCACCTCTGGTCATGTCCCTTTTTTCAGTGCCATTGTAATTAAATGCTGTAAGTCTAGGACTACTTGTAATTTCTTTAAATAATTAAAATAGGTAATAGGTTAAATTCAATAAATTGGATTTATTGAAAAACTTCCTCCATCAGGCTTTATACACCTGGAATCTGAAATATAGAACACAGTCCAGGTAATATTCTCTTTACAAGAAGGGGGCTTGTAGGAGTCTGCAGCTGTACTCAATGCTTTTTAAAAGAAGAGTAATGGGAAAGCACAGCTTTTGTGAAGCTGGGCATGGAACGCACTGCAGAATGGTGGGTGATCAGTTGAAAACCCTATGCCAAGGAGCTCTTCTTAAACTAACGCAGTGCATTTCATCTCCACAATTGTGCATGCTTATCTTCAGGCGGCAAGCAAGTTTGGCTGGACCAGTGCCACTTATAGCACTGACTGATGGCAGACTAATGTACTTGCTGCTGGTGTTTACTTTGTGAGTAACACTGTTGTTTGACTTTAACTTTGAAAAATAGGTGCACACGTTATAGTCCTTGGTATGGCCTAGTTTTCCTCACTGCAGTAGCTGAGCTACATCTTTTCATAGAAGTAAAAGAGCTAGTTTTCTTCTCTTTTTCCCACTTCTACTATTAAGATACACAGCCCATTAAATGAAGGAGAAAAAGCAAATCATCTATGGCATCAGAAACCAAAGGAGTCAGGAAACAAGAATCTAGATCACGGGTCCCCAAAACCCAGTCCATGGATCAGCACTGGTCTGTGGCATGCCAGAAACTGAGCCAGGCAAATAAGTGGTCCCACCCACGGGATGCAGGAAGTACATGAAACAACACCCCCTCTGATCTGTGGAAAAACCTCTCTCCATGGAACCAGTCCCTGGTGCTCAAAATATTGGGAGCCAAACGCTGATCTAGATTGTATATGTAGCTATTTATCTATTGAGATTTATCTGGCTTGGGACCCCAATGGGGGGGTGGGAACAGCACAGTGGAGGTGGTTGAGTAACAACAGATTGCACCTCCCGTGTAATTAGGTTCTAGAAGTTTTTTGTGGTTGGTTTTATCTTATTTGTTTTAATGTAGATAGATTTTTATGATTGTAAGCCGCCCAGTTACCCTGCGGTGAGATTAGCAGCCAATAAAATGTATAAATAAATAAATATAAATATCAGTATTTATTTTTCCCCCTTAATTTTTTTCATCAATAACTCAAGGCAGTGGACATGCATAATACTCTTTCCTCTCCCCATTTTCCCTAACCAACACTGTGAGGTGGGTTGGGCTGAGAGTTACTTCATTCAGCTGGATTTCAGGCCTAAGGTGGGACTAGAATTCAGGGTCTCCTGGTTTCTAGCCTGGAGCCTTAACCATTAGGCCAATACTGCCTTTTGTACATGTTGTTCCACTCACCCTGACCAATAACCCCAGTGAAATAGATTAGGCTGAGAGGGGATGTCTGGTTCCAAATCACCCAGGTCTGAGATAGTATCTGGTCTTGATGTTCTTCACTTAATACCTTAGCCATGATACTACACTGTCTCCCAAATAAACAGTGGGAAGTTAGAAACAGAAAGGTAATTTGAGTAGCAAAATTCAAGAGGCAAACATTGGAAAAGGTATAAGAATTTATTGACAAATTAAAATATGTGATTTTTTTTTAAAGTTAACCCAACTCTGCCCAAAACCCTTTCCATTTCTTTTAAAAATGTGTCTGGTTGTCATAGAGGAGGGCTGTCAAACTTGTGGCCTGGATGCATCACTCGTTGGCCACGCCCGGTTTAGTGAAAGGGGGGGGAGAGTCCTGATACGTCACGTGATGATGCCCTGACATGAGTTTGACACCCCTGTCATAGAGGAACTGAATAATTATTAAATTAGGATAATAATTTCTCCAGCAATGCCTTTGCTGCTGCTGTACAGTCTTTAGTCCTTTTTAGTTTTGGAATAATGCTCTTTAGTCCATCTTTGACTTGTGTTGCAACTTCTTGATCAGAGCTCTGAAGAAGGCTGTAAGAGGAAGAAAGAGAAAGATATGTTTTAAACAGTATCCTTTAAAAATCAATTGTTTTCCCAAGTGTCAAAAATACCATGGTTAGAGATATCAAAGGTCATTGAAAGATTGAAAAGAATTATGTGCTACCCACATCTAAGTGTTATCATAGGTCAACAATGTGAGTAACCAATGCTACTTCCATCTCATGCTCAGATATAAACACTGATTCTAATTTTTTCTTCTTCTTCTTCTTCTTCTTCTTCTTCTTCTTCTTCTTCTTCTTCTTCTTCTTCTTCTTCTTCTTCTTCTTC